GAGGTCTCTCAAATAAAGAGAAGTAGCAGACAGAGTTCATGCTAAGAAGTCATTTGAGGATGGGGGGGGAGGGGACGGCACTTACCATGCTTCCCTGATATGACAAATTCACCTGCTGTGACCTGGATACCTTGTCCCAGGATGAAGCCCTGGCACTGTGGATTTCACTAGGTCCCGGGCCTGTTCCTGAACCAACCAATCACTTTGGTTGGGTGGATGTGATGATCTCATAGCCCCAACCAGGGTCACAGGTTCACCACTGAATCAAGGATGGATGCCAGCCCACCCAACCCCATGGAACCTGAGGGTGGGGCTCCCCAAAGAAAAACTGAGGTGCTGTTAGCAGAAGAAGGGGTACTGGCTGCCAAACAGGCAAAACCAACAAGGATTCCCTCCTCCCACCAAAGGGTGAGGGAAGTGAAGGACATTTGAGGGCTGGAGCTCCAGAAACCTTCCCCAGAGTTGGGGCAGTGTGGGAGTTAAGAGCATCTGCCCACTGGGGTTGAATTTCTGCTCTGTTACTCATTAGCTCAGTGACTTTGAACAGGTTACCCAACCTAATATTTGGCTTCCTCCTCTCCAGGATAGGGTACCAACAGAACCTATTTCATAGGATTGATCTGAGGATTAAATGAGACGATGCACGTAAGGCAATTAGTATAACGGAAGTGCTCCATAAATGAAACTGACTAGGTCACTGTCATCTTGACATGCAACAGTTCAACCCCACTCCCCGGGGGAGACCTGGGTGAGAGCCTCACTCTGTAAGCAGACCGTAGTGGAAGTCAGATGTTTTCTGTGTCCTAAAAGCACCCACCCACCGTCTGCTTTGAGTTCTCATGCTCTTTCCTCAAGCTCTGAATTTTTAAGATCTCATGAAGTTCAAGAGGGGGGTTAAAATGCCAAAATTCTCTATTTTGGAGCATTAATAGATCACGCTAGAAACACTGGCTCTCCCACAAGAAGACACATGCTTGTGGGATTTCTCTGGTAGTCCCATAACAGCCTGAAGGTCTGTCGTCGGCAGCTGGATTGGGGTGGGGAAAGGGACCGTTTTCAAATTGTTACATTTTTAAAAATTTGTACATCATATATTGCCAGCCAGAAAAACATGGCTGAGCCCTCTGCAGGGACTGCCTCCTTGCTGTGTCCTCAAGGATTCTGGGACTGGCAAAAGATTGCAGCTGGAGTCCCTGGGGCTGCCCAGAGAACCAGGAGTGTCTGCACAGAGCTCCAGAAGCGGGGAGCTTTTCTCCCAAGATGAGGGAGCAAAGGGCTCCTTGGAGAAAAGAAAGTTTTTAATCAAAAAACTGCCTGCTCTTACTCCAGCCACTGTAAAACCAAGCTGTTTGTCAGAAATTGTACTTTCTGAAGGGCTCACTACTGCAAAGGCCGTAAGGAGGTGGTTGATATAGTTCCAAGGAGGGAGGAGGCTGATGTGGGGGATTGAAGAACCAAGTCAAAAATGGAAGGAAAAACTTCCATCCAATTAAAAAAGTTTACGCATTTATGTAAAATCACGTGTGCGTATCTATAAAGAAAATTTAAAGAGAAACCGTAAGAGCGTATGGGCTCTAGCAGCAGACAGACCTATGTTGGAATTTCAGTTTCACCACTTCTTAGCTTGTGTGACCTCCCTGATCCTCAGTTTCCTCATCTATGAAATTATAGTATTCCCTTCACATGTTTTGAGGATTCAGTGAGTTAAGGCATGTATAGTAGTGTCTGGTACTCAGTAAGATAGTGATAAATGTTAGCTGATATTGTCATTTATTGAGAGAAGACAGAAGGCTAAAGACTAAGGGAGTAGGGGTACAATTCTCAGAAAGACCTTATCTGCTCATGTTCCAATCATAGTGAACTCACCTCTCTTTCTTTCTTTCTCTTTCTCTCTTTCCCCTTCATGCCTCAGTCCTTGCTGTCCTTGTGCTGTCTCTCCATTTTTCAAGATCTCCAATGTCACTTCTTTGTGAAGCTTTCTCTGGTACCTGCCTCCCAAAGAGAAAGGATCAATCTTCCCTGGAGCCCGGGACTACCCACCACACACAGAAAGTGTAGCAAATTGCACATGGTAAACTCTGGTTCTTGTAGACCTGCCATCACCGAGGCCAACTGTGAGTTCCCTGGGGACAGAGATCATGTCATATACTTCCTGGTTTAAACAGCTCCTGGCACACAAGAGGTCATCACGAAGTGTTTGCTGAATGGAAGCATGAAAATAGAGGGTGACTGCTCTGAAAAGATGGCTCCACTCTAAGGAAAAACAGAAAGGAAATGGACGGAAGCTGCATCCTGGGAAACTTCAGTTAGACACAAAGAATTCCCTTGGTGAGAGTGTTAGATACCAGACCAAGTTCCCATGGGACAGTGTGGAATTTCCTTTAAGGGTCTTGAAAAAGGAATACTTCTTGTGGGTGGTTCTGATGTGGGTTTGCTTGAAGGCAGGTCTCCAGCCTGGTTTGAAGTTCATAAAACCACCCATAAGTAATTTAGATGACAGAGAAGGGTCGGGGCTCTTGGTCAGCTGGCCATCCAGATGGTTTCTTGCACCAAGTGCTAGCAAGGAGGCTGGGTAAGAATGTGGCTGTGTGTGTCTGAACAGAGGCTGGGAAGTCTCTCCCACAAGCCTGAATCCCGGGACGCAAGTGAAGAGAGTAGCTTGCCAAGGACCACAACATTGTCACCGCGTGTTCAAGCACCCACGTCTAATGATCCCATTTCTTTCTTTCAACCGGAAGTGCAGAGGAAGACAGGAGGGAAGGACTGGAGTCCAGAGCAGTGGCCTCCCACCTCCTGTCACATGGTCAGCCCCCCAGGGGCCATCTGGCCCCTGCCACATGCCAGGCCCTGTCCTGATGGAGGTATTAAGAGGGTGACATAAAATGTCAAACATTTGATGACAAATAATGAGTTAATTATAGGTAGAAAGTACTATGAAAGGGCAAAATGGTATGATGAGGAGAAAAGGTGGAAAAAGAAAGATGGTTCCCCTTCACTGTCATTCCTCCATCTAACACAGGCAAGGCAAGCATTACTCTCCCACATCTCTTTCACAGATAAAGGTTCAGAAAAGGCAGAGAATCATTTAATAATTAAAAAAAAAGTCTTCCCAATAATCCACACCCCCAAATGCAAAAAGGACATACAGCCACTGTGTCAAGAGGAACCTTTTAGTTTTAGGGTACACACAAGACCAAGAGGTCACCAAATGTGATTTGGTGCCTAGAGAAAGGACCTGTGAATTCAAGTCTTGACTAAATTTGCTGGTTGGTCTTGGGAAGGCATATCGGCTACCTGGGTTTTAGCAAACAGAGCCTGGGGCAGGCCTCCTGGGGTCAATGTCACAATACACAGTGTGACAGGAGTTGCCAAGTGCTGTGGGGATACAGTGAGTCAAGGCTTCGATCATTTCAGCCGAAAACCATCCTGCTCTGGTCCCCACTGGCTGATACCGGCCAGGTAACGCAGGGTGGTGGTTGTGAAGGATGCAGCCTGGCTGGGTACCGCTGCAGTCTCTCCCATGCGCTGAGCCTCGCCGACCCCGAGCAGGAACCACGTTGGTTAGAGGCTCCCTTGGCTGCTGTGCAGGCTGAACTCAGGCAATCCTGACTAGCCCAGCACAGTTAATTAGCTGCAGCTTAGCACAGTGCTATTAAAAGGAGGGCGAGCCAAAGACACTGTCACATCTGGGTAAGAGAGACATGTGGTATCCGAGCAGAGGTTGAGAAAGAATTGAGAAAAGAAGGAATGAAAACCCTGATTTCATTCCCCAAAGAGCAAATGTGTTTGAGGTCTGAGAAAATCTTTCATTTACGTGATTTCAAGTATCCATCAAGTCCACGTCTAACCAAGGTGCTCTTAGGACCAATCATGCGGCCGGAGCTAATAAGCGAAAAACACCAAACCAACCACAGGATGCGACACAATTTGAGCTCTGCTCTGGCGGCTAAAAGCAACAAGAAAATGAACACCTTTCCCATTGGAAAAACCGTAAGAGCAGAAGTGATGGGGCAGTGATGGGAGTCTGGTGGAAAGCGCAAGGACATAGATAAGATACAAATCCGTACATACATTTCATTCTCCACACGATGGGCATCAGTTATACGTGTGTGCCACTCAGGAGGTCTCACCTAGGTACCCTATGACCCCACACATCTATGAGGCTTCAGAGGCTGGGACAATTTTCCAGCACAGGGTGTAAGCTCGGGGAAGGCAGAGGTGCTGTGAATCCGTGCTGTTCATAGGGGTAAACAGCCCTTATTAAGTGGCAAATGAGGACAGTATAAACAGTTCACATGTGACCCACATATTCAAATAGTCATCCCTCAGAACGAGGCACCAGGGGATACTCACTCGCCTTCTGCTTGCCCAGGGCAAGCTTCTGGAGCCAGAAGCCTTGCCCTCCATCCCCAGAGTCCAGGCTCCCCTGCCCTCTCCTTCTGGCTCCTCTGTTCTCACAGCAGAAGCTGGGAGTGAATTGTAAACCTGGGTCCCAGGCTGCAACTCAGGATGTACCTGGAGGGGATATGATGAATGAGACAACTCAATAACATGAGCTGGCCTGGGACAGCATGTTACAAGTGACTGATTTACAACCCTGGGGGACACGCCCAGCTGTGTGGTGGGACTGTCTGTATTTTGGCTCTTTATTCCATCCTGTGTTAATGAAGTTCCAGAAAATGGTTGATTTGACGATCAAATTTAGGGAGAATAAAATATGTATTGTAGGAGATAAAGTCAGAAACATTCATTGGAATGTGACTCTTTGGGGCTTAACTGTTTAACATGCATGACAGCTTCCCCTCAAGTTCACGAGCAGTTGACCTCTCCCTAAAGGAAATCAGAGCTCCCCAGAGCACATCAGAAATCAGCACTGTGGTTGTCACCAGTGACCTCAGGAGCCCCGACTTGTGATCTTTGATCATGGTCTTTGCTTATTTGAAAAAAATATTAAAATATGCATCCTGTCAAAACTTTATCAGAAACTCAAGAAACAAACATACCACCAAATGGAAAAGTCATTTAATTCAAAAATCATACTTCCACTAGTTTCACAGGGATCGTCACATAAACCAACCGAAAGTAAGAAAGCCAAGTTTCAGAGGCCACCCAACAGAAACTGTATTTTCTTTACAGATATGCTTAGTGACACAAAAGCACATTTTTTTTTCTTTTCAAGCCTGAACATGGCAACACTGTTTTATGAATAACAGGGAAAAAGTTCTATTCTAGTCACAAGTTACTTTTTAATTACGAAATAGGATTCTACACACACCAGTCGATATTCAATACTGAATCGAAGTTTAAAACAGTGCATTTATGTTTTTCAAAAAAAAACCTTAAAGTGCCATTTTTAAGTAGTTTATTGATATTACATCACACAGCACTTTATAATACACTCAAAGGCAGCCTAAGTTGTGAATTAAACATGCAAATATTTTCTTCTCCAAAATATGGACAAAATGTCTTTTAGAGTGCTTGTGAACACTAGCCTACTATGAACCCCTAATTGTTTATGAGTTTGATCTTTTTTCAACATGACTCTTAATAAGTTAATAAGGAATAGAACTATAGATAGTAATCATCTGATAAATACGAACAGAGTTTTCAAATGGCACTTAAGTTACATCTTTGCTCATTCTGATAATCAATAGCCTCTCTTGGTTCTCTGATTCTCCAACTTCAAATCTTAAAGGCTGTCAAGGCTCAGCAACCGCCAGCTTAGGCGGGTTTTTCTAGAAGACAGTCTGTATCTTTACATATGTAAATGTGAGCTGTACACATACATACACAAACACACACTAATACATATACACTTAAGAATCATCAGATGAACCTCTTTTCACAGGTTCAAGGTTGACCCTGGCATCTGGATACCCAAGGAAGCTGCGTGTAGGGTCTGTTTGGACAATTTGGTAGAAATGGTAGATGTAGAAATGATTGATGTCAAATGTCTTGGCCTCTCCAGGTAATTCTGACACTTTATCACTACTCTTGGTTCTCGCTGACTACACTAAATGGAATTTTGATGTAACAGTAATTCCTATACTTACACGTGTCCAGGACTGTGCTAAGCCTTTGCTCTCTAAGGCATTCTGCCTTGAAAAATGTTTTCATCTTGTAGTGTCCTGTAAAACTTCTGTAAAAAAATTAGCTGTGAACTTTTTATGTGATAGATTTCCGCCCCTATTAAGAACTATATTTATCCCTCTTTTAAAAAATCCAAAGTTCTTCAGGATGGTTTGCCTTTCTCTTTCTGCTCTTAGCATTACTTTATACCCAATCCTTTTTCTCCTAAGAATACAAGTGCTTCCATTAGGAGATCACATTTTAGCCAGGGCTGGCTCTGAATGACGTCTGAATTCTCTATATGGCCTCTCCCTGTGCTTTGGGAAGCTCTTTAGTTAGACAAGTACTGTAGGTGGTGGAAGGAAACAAGCTAATTATGACTTGGTGGAGTCTGGTCTCAGGCATGCTGTAGGTTTGTGCAAGGTCCATTATTCTATGGCTGTTGTCATCTGGAGGTTACATTTAAAGAAAAGTGGTTCAGCACCCAGCACACCAGCCTGGCTGCCAAACACATCTGAGCATGATAAGATACATTTTTTAAACGCCGACACAGGGTGTGTGAGAGGACACCCAGTTGACTTGAAAGAGATGTGGGGCAGGGCTGTCTAGGTAAATGATTACTGTCAAGTTTGCCAGTCATGACAGATTAACTCCCTAGACAGTATAGCCAGGACATTCCTTTTAAAGTCAGGTAGCTAAGTGGCTGTTTAGTTTCTTCAGGGCTGGCTACCTACTTGGGTAACATGGTTGCTCATAAAACATTCGATGCTAGGGCGAACTGTGAGTGCCATGGTGGCCACTGCTGTACCTGGGAGTCCTGGGTCTATAAAAATGGATGGTCCAGACTTGCTTCTTCTGGAAACAGAAGCCAGAGGATGAAAGGTGCCAGTAGACAGTCATGAGTAGTTGATCATGTTATGTTCAGTCGATTATTTCTGTCTCCCCACTCCACAATCACGGATGTTTTTAGAGTCTATACAGTCAAGACAGAGCTTTTGGTGTGACAGAGGTTGCTGTTTTCAAGAGACACAAACTCTGATGGTAGAAGGACTTCCCTGTGAGCTACAGGTATGACACACATAACTGCAGAGTCCTGGCAAACAGTGAAATCACCTTGTCACTAGCATGACTCTGTGTTGCTAATGCCGGTTGGCCAATACCTGATTGTTCATTTATTCTCCTTCTCTTTGCCTTTCTATCCAAAAAGCACTCAGCAAGAGGACATGAACTAGAATTATGCTGAAGAAACAAACAAACAAACCCCAGTTTGGTGTGACAGAAGAAAACACACATTGGCTGTAGAAATACTAAAACACTAAGCTAAAAACTGGCTCCAGTCCTAGGATACAAAGGCCAGCAGTGCTATACAGGGTCCATCCCTCTATGTCCAGATTTGAAAACAGAAGAGAATATCATCAGTCTTGAGCAAGTCAGGACTTTACTTGCCTGGGCGGTGGGGGAAGAATGTGAAACTAGTTGTCTTCTCAAGGCATGGCATTCTGTAACTACAGAACTCTGCTGAGTACCTGGAGGAGGTGGGAGAGACTGATCTTGATGCCCCCAAAAGACTCAGGCTATGTCTGCCTACCTGATCCCAGGGCCTTCCAAAAGCAACACGAGGCTCCTGGGAAAGCTCAGGGATTTTGCTCAATAGTATTCCACTCTGATACCCTAATGTGCCCTAAGATTCCCTATTCCAGAAGACAGAGTTAGAGGTGGGGAGCAAAGACAGTGGAGGGTAAAACCTATTTTCAGCCTTCAAGTTCCTTCTTATTTGTCGGCTCATATCCTGAACAGTGTCTCCAGTTCTGTAGATGATGGGAAGGAGGGGAGCCTGGCCAGGGCAAGGAAGCAGAGCAGCCATCTGTCAGGGCCCAGCACGGCCCAGAGAAGCTGGGAAGGGGTCTACCTAAAATTCCCATTGGCAGTAGCTCCATTTCCCCCGGCTTTGGATCAGAGGTGAATGAGGAGGGAGGCACATGCTTCCAAGTGGTCAGGCTGGGGCCAAGTGTCGGCAGGTAAGCTTCAGAGGAACTTCCAAATCCAGGGCCTGGGACTTGCGGCCGTCCCCACGTTAGCTCTAGTCAAGGTTCCAATGGGGCAGGTGGTGATTTCAAATGTCCAATGTGTTAAAAGCATTATGCTGCACTCTTTCTATTTGGAAAGCACAGTGGTAGAGAGTGTGCTTGTCCCTCTAGCCCCTTTGAACAGGTCCCCAAGCTGTTCAAAGTCCGCAGGGAGGAGGTATAGCCTGCTCATATAGCCTGCTCATATGTGCCCTTTCTTCTTGGGTTTTCAATGATAGCTTTCCTGAGTCCCATCTCGGTCTTCTCCAGTCTTAATTCTTGTTCCCTGATTCGGTGGTGGTGCCTCGCTCACTGCTGGGTGAGCTCCTGGGTAATAGCTGTGTCATCCTTGAGCTGATGGAATGAATCACAATGACAAACTCCTATTAACTTTAAAGTCATCTAGAAAGCTATAACAGCACAATCTCCACCCCTCTTTGGAGGTTTTTCTTTGTCTTATTTTGGAGCTATCGGGAATCTGAGATGAATAAACATGTTTAGGAAAAGGGGAAGAAGCAGCATGTCAAGAACGAAAGATCCTAAGAAGCCAGGTTTTCTTGGAACTTAGACACACACATTTGCAAACTAGCTTGGACTCCTTTATAAAGCCTTAGAAGATGTGCGGAAGAGTGAGATACAAGGAGCATGCAATTATCCCGTCTTCTGTCCTGGTACCTTGGGGTATCAAGAAATACACCTGAGAAGAAAAATGAAACAAAAAAAAAATCTAACCCCTGGCCTCACCTGTTTAAATCCTGAGCTTCATCTTACTACTGGGTAGGAGTTCTCGGAAAAGTTCATTGCCTGAAGATGCTCCTTCCATCTCCAAATCCAAAGCCCAAGAAATGCTCAAAAAACCACATCTGGATAAAGAAGACTGAACACCATTAACGTGTCACGCCCACCAACAAGAGCCAGCAGAGTGTGTGGAAATATCTTCTCCTTCCTCAAGGCCAGAGAAGGGATGATCTTGACTCTCTTCGACCTTGTGTCCCCTCTCTCCCTCGTATACACACCTGTTCAGCAATCAAAGCTTAAATGTGTGAAGCAACTAGCTTATAGAATATCAAATATAAAACTTTGCCATATAGTATTTCAAATCACTCTATTTACACGTTTATCTTTTCAAAAAAAAAAAGTAAAAGATACAGTAATTCAACACAATTCAAGTTTTTCTTTTCCTCTTTAAAGTTCCCTCAAGAGGAATTCCAGAAGCAGGACACACTCTGGAACAACGCCACCATCCCGAGGGGCTCCTGTCCTGGAGAGCTTGACAGTCCCTCACTTCGGAGTTTGTCTGCCCAGAATCACTCTTGCAAGGACATTCAAGTGTGGAAATACCGGGACTCTCTTCTTTGGAAAGCCAAGTGAATTTGAAATGTCCAGGCCAAACTTCCCCACCCAAGGCAGTCTTCCACATGACCCAGCCCCTTCTGGACCAGGAAATTCTCTTTCTCAGAAGGTACCCATCCCACCTTCCATGCCCCAACCTTCTGGCGTCCTCCTGAATCACAATGGCTTATGCTATTAGTCTCATGCCTCAAAAGCCTGAGAAACAATTCCCTTTTTCTGAGTGGCAGTGAACATGTATGTCCTTTTAAACTAGAGGCCATGGGGTTAGTCCAGGAATCATGCCTGAAAGCTGCCAGGGCACCAGTGCTGAGCAGCCCAGGGCACTGCCAGGGGGCTAGTCAGTGAAGGGCTACAGGCAGGCGAGGACAGGGGAAGGGACAGGTGAACGGGAGGGAATGAGTCAGAGGGAGGGTATTCCCCTTCGGGAGGCAGCACGTTGCCCTCTAGAAAGCAGACACTAGTTGCATGGAAGAACAGAAATATTAAGCCTGTATGTAATTTAATCTCAAGAGGTTACTAGAGTTTGTTCCAAATATATCCTGGTGCTGCTGAAATTCATCAGAAAGGGAGCAGTTCCCAGCTGCTATTCTATCTGCCCCCAAGTAGACCTTGATCTTCGGCTTCAGGTTGTTGGAAAACCATTCAAAAAACGGCCAAAAAGCAGGGAGAAAAAAATACGTCATGCAAAGAGTGTGTTATTTTTTGGTTTGGTTTTAGAGTAGGTTGGGTTGCCGTGGTTACGAGGCAATGGCAGCCTTCGGTGGCAGAGAAGTTCCTAGCTTGGGATATTATGTTCCTAGCTTGGGAAGGGGGCCATGGGGGGGGGGGGTGTGTGTGCTCCCCTGCATGAGAGGACTGGACAGAATTCTGCTGGTGCTGGGACAGTGGCTGCTTGAGAGATGGTGAGAGACTGGATCTTATGTAAACAGCGCCATAACCCTTCTCCATCCTGCATGCAAACAAACAGACCCAGCCGCCTATAGCACGGCAGGTCTCAAGTATTTAGAGGTGGGGTAGAGAGAGTGTCTACTGTAAACAATAGCTGTGGATCCAGACTGGATCTCAGGCCACTGCCCAGCCCTGTCAGAGCCAGCTATACTGCAACCTCCTGGGGACTGCTTACATCTCACTTACTTCCTTTATCAGAAGGTTGGGGTTTGGATGACTACTGAAACAAAATGAGCACCTCACGTAGGGTGCTAAATGAGAGAAATGGCTTTGTAAGCCTTTCTTGTTATCAAAATCAAACGGCCTCCTCCGCTGATTTACTTCTGTTTCTTGCAGTGTCACCGCACGTCAGCTGAGATTATCATGGGGATGGGTGACACCAGAGTTCACAGAAACATTCGTGTTGACAGGTAGCAGCAGAGTCAGTCACCCTGCACTTCTCAGCCGCGAAGAGCAATGGCCCACAACAATGGAATCAGCCGTTGTCATGGACACCATGAAAAGCTCAGCAGTTCTGCCAGGGCCCATGGTTAGAGGAACTCCACGTAGTTCTCGGGGATGAGGCCCGTCTTTCCATTCAGAGTCCCCTCCAACCAGCCAGGCTCCTGAGATGGATGCACTGTACAGGAAGCGGGGAGAGAGTGACAAGAAATGACGTTACAGATAGGGTAGGAGGTGGATGCATACTGTGTATGTGTGAAGGAAGTTTAGAGATTGGTGCAGTCGCTCGTTAAGTTACATAATTCTCAGATTTGTTTAAACCAGAGTTTCTCAACCCACTGGGGGACCTGGTGAAGGTCATTCTGAACTTTCTCCATAATTAAAAGGGGAAGTGACACAGGCATTCAAAATTCTGCATACAATTTTAGGCGTTTCATGGACTTTCTGAAGTTCCTGGTTTAAACTATAAAGAAGTAACAGACTTCTGCATTTTAGGTTAGAGGTCACAGTTATGATATTCTACCTATATATTTACCTAAGTATCCATCCATCCATCCCTGTACTCATTTACTTACCCAGTGTTGACTACGTACCAGATAAAGTACCTATGGAGGACTGCTAAGAACTAGTACCTAAAGATATGTAGCTCCTAATCATGCATTGTACTTCCCTCCGAATCCATACCCTCTGCTTCTAATTTCCTTGCAAATTCCCTCTGCAATTTTTTTTTTTTTTTTTTGTACTTTATACTCTTCAAATAGCCCTCTGGTGGTTCCAACCATACCCTTCTTTAGTTTTCTTTCCTGTTCTCTGGAGTTTTCCTCCTTCCTATACACAAGTCTGAAAGCTGTCTTCTCCCTCTCTCTATTGCAATTTAAAAAACTTCTACCCTTTTGATTTTTCCACATCCAAAGAATATATACCCAATGTTCTGTGATGTCACAAGCCATCTCCATGGAAACTACTATGATACTGTAAAAATTATATACAATCCAGCTGAGTCTGCAAAGCAGCCAACAGCAGGAAGGAAGAGAGAAGGAATCCTGGACTTGGAGAGGAGGGCTGTTCATGTTTTTTGAACTGGGAATATACAAATCACTCTTGGGTGAGGCAGGACATTTGTTCTTACTGTTTTAGGAAAACTCCAATCCTCTGAGATTGTTTGGAGAGAATGAATTTTCCTCTATTCCCTTCCTAGGCCAATTAAGTGACTTCCTGAGCTTGTTTTAGAAAAGCATTTCCGCCCACAACACTACTATAAAACTCTAGTTTCAGTTTGTAGGGAAATAAGAAAGAACAGAGACCAAAGGAAGTAAATGGAGAAGCAACAGAAGGACACACACTGAGGCTCATAGAAGATCATGGTCAACCTTGGCTAGATCTTGAAGGCTTCTTTAGGAAAAGACAAGGTCAATCATCTATGAGGTGGCCTCCAACATGTTTCCCTGATTTCATATCTCTAGGCCTCAGGAATAAACCCAAGTAGCGAGGGTACTTCGGATTCATGACACCACACAAGGAGGAGTCTGGGGGACAAGTGCCGTGGAAGAAAGAACACAACACAACTGAAAAGCAACCTGGTCTCTCCGATGACCAAGATCTCCCAGCCTACCGCTAAAATGCTAGCACCCAAACACCCCTGCCTTCTGCCCATCCATCCAGCTCACACTGCCAAGATCACTTCAGTTTCTTCAACCTATCAAGTGATAATAAAACTCTCTCCCGCTCAGTGGGTTCTTGTGAGGGTTCAGGAACCAATATGAAGAAAGCACAGGAAATACTCAGTACAGATGAGTCAGTAGGAGACCCTGTGTCATTTGATCAGCCATTCAGAATGGTCAGCAGGATCCTCCTGGTAAAAACCAAGTAAGGACCTGGTCTCCACAACCACCTAAACTTGGGGAAATCTCAGATGTTCAGAACCAAAACCAAACAAATCAAACTCACTCCCCAAAACAAAAGACCTAGAAAGAAGAAACCAACCAAACACACAAAACGAAAAACAACAAAAAAAGACAAACCCTCCGCCCCCATCTGACAGCAAAGCTCCTAGTTGAGTTGCTGTTCTACCGGATGCACCGAGTCCATCTCTCTCAGACTTTCTCCCTTCCTGGCCAGCTGTTCAAACACAGCTCAGGTGCAGAGGTGGTAATGTCTGTAAACATTAGAAATGGAATTTGCAGAATAAGGGGAGAATCAGAGGGGACAAAGGAGGCCCTCTAAACTAGAGAACAAGAGCTATGTCATGGGGGACGACAAGGGACAGTGCAGCCTTTGGGTCAGATTGCTGACTCGGAGGAGTCAGCAAGTCAGGCTTTAGTAAGGGATGGTACCAGACCAGGTGCAACAGAACCACCTGGACGCTTATTAAAACTGCAGATTCCTAGGCCCCAGCACACATCAGTTACAGCAGAATCTCTAGGAGTGGGGCTCAGGGATCTGCATTTTAACTCATTCACATAAAGTTAAGTTATAACTCTTCCGTGCCAAAATGCCTCTGTAATGAGGGTGATAATAAGAATTAACTAATGGAGGACAGAGGCAGCCCCAGATGCCTCTGGCTTCCTGTTGTCTTTTGTTGCCCTTCCCCACACTTGAAGGCTTAGCTGAAGCCCTACCTCCTCCACAAATATCCTCATGGAACCCCATCTACCTGCTCCCTCCCTTCCCCTGGCTCCTGGAACGCTCATAGTACATTCCACATATGATTCATAGGTCCTTTTTTTTTTTTTTTAAAGAAGATGTTGGGGGTAGGAGTTTATTAATTAATTTATTTATTTTTGCTGTGTTGCGTCTTCGTTTCTGTGCGAGGGCTTTCTCTAGTTGCGGCAAGCAGGGGCCACTCTTCATCGAGGTACGCGGGCCTCTCACTATCGCGGCCTCTCTTGTTGCGGAGCACAGGCTCCAGAGGCGCAGGCTCAGTAGTTGTGGCTCACGGGCCTAGTTGCTCCGCGGCATGTGGGACCTTCCCAGATCAGGGCTCGAACCCGTGTCCCCTGCACTAGCAGGCAGATTCTCAACCACTGCGCCACCAGGGAAGACCCATAGGTCCTTTTAATGCTGTTCAAATGTGTTAAACTTTGTTTCCCTAACTAGTTTTTTTTTTTTTTTGCGGTACGCGGGCCTCTCACTGTTGTGGCCTCTTCCCTTGTGGAGCACAGGCTCTGGACGCGCAGGCTCAGCAGCCATGGCTCACGGGCCCAGCCGCTCCGCGGCATGTGGGATCCTCCCGGACCGGGGCACGAACCCGTGTCCCCTGCATCGGCAGGCGGACTCTCAACCGCTGTGCCACCAGGGAAGCCCCCTAACTAGTTTTTTAGTGCATTTAATTTTGTATTCTATCACTCAACATTCTTCACTGACTCCCCTCTGGTGAATTATGATGACAGAAGCAAACACGCTACAAATGATGACCGGGAAACAGCCGTGGACTCAGAGAGTTAAATATTTATTGACTCACTCGGACCTAAGGATCCTAGCTTGTATTATTATCATCCCTATTTTACAGATGAGAAAATTAAGGCTCAGAGAGGTAAATTAATTTATTCAGGCTCCCAACAGTAGACCCAGAATTTGAATCCAGCTTGCTTGGTCCCAGAGACCAAGCCCTTTTCCACTACATTATGCCTCTATCCAACCAGAGAATGGGATCCTTGAGGGTAAGAATGATGATGCTCATGGGGAGCACATACTGAGCAGTGGGCCCTTTGCTAAGTGCTTCCTCTGCATCCCCTCTTTCCATCTTCAGAAGGACTATGGAGTTGGTTCTATTATCCTCATCTTACTGATGAGAAACTGAGGCTCAGAGAAGTGAAGCATCTTGCCCCAAATTACACAGCTGGTAGATGATGGAGGTGGATCTGAACTCAGGACAGCTGACCCTAGGGTCTGTGGTCTTAAGCACTACCACTTTGGCCTAGCCTAAGGCTCTGGACATCGAGGATGCTCATCATAAGTACTTGTTGGGTTGAATCGCACCAATGTCCAACCTTCTGAATTGCACCAGTGTCCCATGTGCTATATAAACACAGAAGGTGTTGCAGTGAGCTGCCTGGGCAGCTCTCCAGCCCAGCAGGCATATAATAAATATAAGCTGCTGCTGACACGGGCGTGCTTCCTGCCAACTACTCTCTCTCAGCTCAATCCATATACACTCCATACACCCCTGCACAGGCAACTCATGCTCTCCCCGCTCCTTCGCTCACGGTGCACAAGGAACAAGTGTGTGACTAAGATCTCTAACGGCGGGCTGCCCCACAGGGAAGTAGCACTGGCTGGAACAGGTGCAGCCCCCCGTGTAGTTGAACGCATGGGCTCATTTAACAAACGTTCATTCAGCACCTACCATGAGCCACACACTGTGCTAGGTCCCTGCACGTAGGATAGAACAAGCAGAGGAGATTGTGCTCTTGGGGAGGGACCATCTACAGTAAGTAAGCACGTAATTGTAGGTAGTGATGAGGGGAAGGAGACTGGGATAGGGAAGTGGGTGGGTGGCCAAGAGTTCGAAAAGCTAAAACCCAAGTCATCCACAGAAGCCAGCCAGGCAGTGGGTAGTGCAAGTGTAAAGGCCCCAAGATGGGGAGAAGCTTGTTGTGATTTCAGAACAGTAGTGTGTAAGTTTTTCTTAAAAAGCCGGCTCGTCAATGTGTAACTACTCAACTCTGCCACTGTCTTGCTATAGATAATATGTAAACACAAAGGCGTGAGTGGCTGTGTTCCAGTGAAGCTCTGTTTACAAAAGCAGGCAGCGGGCTGGATTTCACTGGCCGGTCATAGTTTGCCAGCCTTATTCGAGAACATAAAGAAGGCCTGGGAGGCTGCTCTGTATCAAGGGAGGGTGAGAGGGGGCCACACGGCAGGGGCGGGACCTGCAGGAACTTGTCAATAATTCTAAGAACAACAGGAGGCAAGATAACATGATGTGACTTCCATTTCTCAAAGATCTATCTGGCTGCTGTGTAGAGCCTGGGTTATGGGGTAAGAGTGGATGCAGCAAGACCAGTGAAGCAGCTGGTGGAAATGCCCGGGGGAGACATGGAGAGGCTGGGGAGGCTGAAAGACTCCGCCGAGGAAGTCTCTGGGAACCCCGCTGCCTGAGATATCCTTTATCAGCAAAGGAAACCCAGGGCAGCCCTGCTGTGCACTCACACTGCACCTGGTACCCCAGCAATGAAGGATCCAGCCCATGTCAGTTCTTGATAAAAGTATCCCAAGAACCCAATTTTAGTGAACGCCATGTGAATATTCCCGGTATCACTAATCATGTTGCTTCTAGATGACTAATGTTCCTGAGAACGTGAGTTATTTTTGTTTCCAGTTACTGTATGAGGTGCTCTTGGTGAAATGGCCAGTTTCCTAGTATATTGGCAAGGGCTGACACTGGAGTTATTTCTGAGTATTGCACAGCCATTGGCCACTGCACAAAGTCCAAGAGCTGACGGAGCAGCCTCTCCAGATTCACAGCGGGCCCCTGGAATCCAGAGGCTTGGAGATTAATCATTACGAACAACAGACTTTCCCCTCAAGGTGCCCCTCCCTCTTCCTCCTCCTCCCTTCTGCTTCTTGATCCTGAAAAAAGACAAGACACACACACACACACACTCACTCACTCACTCACTCACTCACTCACTCACTCTAACTCTGTCATTAGGAAACTTTCTCCTGATTGGTCTGATGATTTAATCTGACGGCTACAGAGCATCCAACTTATATCGTCCTTACCTGGAATCTTCAGCAATAAATTACCGAGAGAGAACAAGGAAAAAGATCTCTCTAACACGTGAATAGTGTTTTCTCCCTTTAATGCCCGATTACTCCTAAAGAGGTGAAGGGATGGGGAAAGTAGGGTCAAGGTAGTATTTTCTAAAACTTGGACATCATAAAATATTACCATCCAACCAGTCTAAAATCTGGACGGACATTTTGTCAGATCCTTCTTCGACTGCAGCTCAGTCAACACTGTGAGGTGTTGTCTTTGGGGCTTAATTTGGCCTTTTGCTCTTCAGGGAATTGGAAAAGGTCACTGGCATTGCTAGTTAAAAAGAAACTAGTGTCAATGAACGCTGCCCCTGGAGACCATGGGAAGGTGGGGTAAGGCCTCTGACTCTCTCCTGCTCTCATCTGTCCTTGTAGGATTTATGACAATTACTGAGTGGAGGGGCAGGAGTAGTAACAGAACCTGCTGGGAAGGAAAGGACTTGGCAGTTATCAATCAAGTGTCTTTTAATTTCTTTTTTTGGTTAGCTAGTTAAACCACTTCAAAAAAGGAGACTTAAAAACTGAAGAAGGTGGGAATGCCAAATGGTGCAACCCCTCTAGAAATCAGTTGGGCAGTTTCTCCAACAGTTAAACCTAGAGTTACCATGTGACCCAGCAAGCCCATGCCTTGGTGTATCACCAAGAGAACGGAAAACCTACATCCCCACAAAAACTTGTATGCATGTGTCTATAGCAGCATTACTTACAACAGCCAAAAAGTGGAAACAATCAATATGTCCATCAATCGATGAATGGATAGACAAAACGTGGTATATCCATCCAATGGAATATTACTCATCAATAAAAAGGAATGAGGTTCTGAGGCTTACTACAGCACGGATGACATTGGATACAGTGCAAAGCAAAATAAGTCAGTTACAAAGACCATGTACTGTATAATTCCACTCACATGAAACATCCAGAGCGGGCAAATTTACAGGGACAGAAAGTAGACTAGTGGTTGCCTAGGTGGCATGGAGTAGGGTTGGGGTAAATGGGGCATGACTGCTAAAGGGAACAGGGTTTCTTTGGGGGTGAGGAAGATATTGTGGAATTAGATAGTGATGATGGTTGCACAACTTGAAATGTACTAAAACCCACTGAACTGTACATTTTAAGTGGGTAACCTGTATGGTATGTGGTTACCTCAATAAAGCTCTTTAAAAAATGGAAGAAGGCTGTGCTCAGGAAGAGGAGTCCCAAACAAGCCACACACACACACACACACACACACACACAGACCTTCTGAGAGCTTACACCAACTCTTCCCCCGGGATCGGGGGTCCTTTGTGTTGTCAGAGTGAAGAGCTGATAGGAACACGGCAGTCCCTTGCCCATGGGAGTAGTGGACTGTGGTTTAGAGGACAGACCTTTAAGCTCTGGACTCGCCTGTAGATGTAGGCATCTCTCAAATATTGCTCACTGGTAGGCAGAAGACCCTCCCCTGTCGACAGCATAGGACACAGAGCCTGTGCATGCACCCACTCTGATTCGTCTGCCGTGCGCACTGTGTCATGTTATGGCTGGGCAGTGACTCTCCCACATGGGCCTGTTCAGGGGACACTCTCCAAGGACATGGTCTTGGACAGCCTTCAGGGGACCCACTCCTACAGGTGTGCCAGGACCTAAAAGCTCTAGCTGCTGACAGGAGAGGCAGTTGGGCTGGCTGTTTGTACGCTTTGATTTTTAAAGGACCCAAATGAAAGTCAGTGGAACAAAGGTTTAAGGACAGTGCTTTAGAGGCTCTGAGAACCCTAAGTGAGGATGCAGGCCCAGAAGGCCACACGCAGTTGTAGGCTCATCCCCAGCCCTGCTGGCTCAGAAAGTCGAGGTCTGCCGAGCGGGACCTGGGAATCCCCCAGGTGCTCTGTGACCTCTTTCCCGTTCTGTCTACCCATATGCCTGATTACTATCTCTGCCATGCTGAATGCAGGGGCTGGCCACACAGGTGGGCAGTCCCTTTGCATACGGATGCAGTCAAGGCTGTTCCCCAGGAGCCCATCTCTGCTCTGGCTGAGACCTCAAGGCCCTTACAAATAACCAGGACCCAGGGTGTCGAGGTGCAGTACCTACTGCCCAGCTGGGCTGTAGCAGCTAAAAAGGAAAAACTGTCACTGTGAACGATCAGAGCATCAGGGTCTTTTTCTGACATGGACGTAACGAAATGATGGTCATCATCGTAACAATAACAACACACCGAAAGCTTAATATGTGTTGAGTACTATTTTAAACGTGTGATGCACACTACCTCAATTTTCTCTCAAAACTGTCTGGTATCTTTCTATGACAGAGGAGAGGACTGAGGCACAGAGAGGTTAAGTCACTGCTTGAGGTCACACAGAATCAAGTGGTCAAGCCAGGGCCTGCGCTACGGTGGCCTGAATCTAGAGTTCAGGCTCTCCGGTGCTACATGGGAGCCTTGGCTGCCCTGCATTTCTGGGTCTCAGGCGGGTGGTAGGAGGCACGGTCCCGACCTGGGTGGGACCGCGCAGCTGTGATGGGAAAGGAACACTGGGTAGTGTGCACTCACCCCTGCCAGGGAACCCTGCCCCACCCCACCTGAGGTCAAGAAGGGGGGCCCAGAAAATGTCCAGTTCCTGAAACCAGACAGCTGGTTTTTGCTTCCTCCTTTGAGCAAAACAAACAGACCCTTTCACCCAGGAATCCAGAAGGATTAACCCCAAAGGAGAACTACATCTGGAGGAAATCTCAACTGTAACAGAAACTTGGGCCTTTCCCCAGAATCCTGATATTTCTTGTAGGCAGATAATAAGTTATGACAAATTATAACAACAATTCCATCAAATTGCATTTTGAAAAATATTCTTGTTTTTTTTTTTTTTTTTTAGGGAGGAAAACAAACAAATGAAACAAGGAAATGGTGCATCAAGTAAGTCCCAGGCTCACGGGGCAAGTGCTCCGAATCCATTTTCCCATCAGGATGCCTGTGCACCAGCTGGTGCCTGGCAGGGCTGGTTCCACTGTGGGGTCATCTACCCGCTCCCGGCAGCTGGGGGAGGACGAGCAGGAATGCAGCGCAGCTTATCTGCCCGGAGCTCACCCAGTGCCCCACCGTCTCAGAAACAGGCCTCTCCTGCCACGGATAGTGAATCCCACTGAACCCAAGGCTGGGCACAGACCCTGCGGCTTTAGCCTCCTCCCTGAGCTTCTGACCGCTTGCAGGATCCCCGTTCTCCACTCCTTCGTCTCCTCCCTCCGTCCAGCCCCCAGATGCTCAAAGCCTGTGCAGGTACCATCCCATTTCATGCCCACGACACCTCGATGACACTGGCTCTGTCACAGTGAGGAGGTGATTCCACGCATCCTCTTTTTTTTTTACTCGTCCTCTTTTGACAGTGGCTCCTAAGGCTCTCCCACTGCTCTGTTATTTTGGGAAAAGACACCCCACCCCACCCCATGCTCCTTTTTAGTCTTACCTGTTCTGTTGAGATTTTCCTTAGGTAGAAAGGAACTTTGACAACTCCAGTGATTTATTGGAGAAACTCACCATTATCGAAGACCGTCCCTGCCGTGAATGAGAGCTCTGAGTCGTGTTCCGCTTTGCAGGCATATAAGGCTTTTGCCTTCCGGAACGGTGTGCTGGGGGAAAGCAGTTTATTTAGCATTTTTTAAAAACCCTCTGAAAGATATTTAATCTCTCTTCCTCCCCCTTCCCTGCAAGCCACCGAGCCTTCTCTCACGGGAAGAGCCTGACAAGGCAGTCAGATGGCAAAACACGAGGTGGAAAAGTTGCAAAGGTCACCAGAGCAGAAACGAGAAATATGCAGAGGACAGCCATAAGCCTGGAAAAACCACACTTCTCGTGGGCTCACCTTGTGCCAAGTTTAAACCTGACTTGTAAGAGCTGAACGGTGGGAGGGCAGGCTGGACCCCATTTCTGGAGCAGGACTAGCTAGGGGGGGGCAGTGGAGGCAGGAAAGAACCCCTAACTCTGGAGAACACTCACAGCAGACCCTGCTGAAAGCGGCCAGTGCTCAGTGAGTCAAAAGGAGAAATTCTAGCAAAGCCAGGTTTCAGCTCCAGGCCCCGGGCTGACGTTGGCTCTCCCACATGTTACTTATTTCTCATTGGGCTGGTGGAGCAGGTTTCTAGAGCTGCAACTCCCGGAACCCCAGGGTAGGGCAGGGAGCAGACAAGGTGTGGGCGTGAGCGGTTACACACGTGTGCGTATGAGCATACGTGTGCACTCGTGTGGGGAGGAAGAAGGGAGAGGGGGCATGATGCAATTTTTTTGTGCCTTTCTCATCCCAGGAGTGCTGACAGCCACACTCACTGCGAATCAGAATCACTTTAAAAAATGCAGATGTCTGGGTTCTACCCTGACTTGCAGATATCAGTATTTTTATAAAGCTCTCCAAGTGACTCTCATGAGCAACCAGGGCTGAGAACCATCCTTCCAGAGCAGGGGTTGGCAAACTCCTTCTGTAAAGGGCCAGACAGTAAATATTTTAGGCTTCATGGGCCGTATGGTCTCTGTTGCATTCACTCAACTCTGCATTGTAGCACGAAAGCAGCCACAGGCAACATGTAAATGAATGAGTGTGGCTGCGTTCCACCAAAACTTTACTTACAAAACACAGGGGGCAGGCTGGATTTGACCTAACGGCTGCAGATTGCTAACCCACATCCTAGAGTGCAAGTCGCAAGTACTGGTAAATCAATTTTTGCTTTGATATCCAACCAGTCCCAAATGAGCTATGGACTTCTCAAGGGTCACAAGAAAAATGACATTTAGCAGTCAAAAGTTGGCTCTTTATTTGCTGAAAGCAATCTCTCTCTCCCTCAAAGCCAGCATATTTAGGGGCTCTAGGGCGGAGTAACAAAAGAGCAAGTAGGTCCTCTGGGTTAGACAATTATTCAAGGGATATATATTATTTGCTTTCTCTTTATTTGGCTAATGGAGAGCCTCAACGACCCAGGGACGCTAAACCTTCATGGCGCATTTATTTCTAGTGGCTGAATGAGTTTTAGCTGAGCCATGGTTGGTCTCAGGTAAATCCAGAAAGGGTCAGAAGAGGCAGGGCACTTCGGATCCTTATGGAACTGATGCTCTTGGAGTCACCAAGTCCAGCTTCCCTCTGGGAAAGAGAAGCCATGGATGTTTAGAAACCTATACCAGGGCCAGAAACCTAAAACTTTTAGTCTTGGTTCCATGAAAATTGAAGGAAAGATGACTTAAAGGGTCTGTTGTACAGATAAATGGTTATCCAGAATTTGTTGCCAGGGTACAGTTTACTGGCGTTCTCGCTGGTCTTGTAGTAGCCAGGAAATGATAACTGGGTGGGAAAAAACTGGGAAAGTGGGAGAACACGAAGTGGGTTCGCTGGTAGTGAAGGGAAAAAGAGCCTTTAGGACATAACAGCTCCAACTAGAAACCAGCTCCTCCTGTGTACTTATCATTAATGTCACAATCAAGTTCAGGACAAGGGGCACATTCTGTGATCTAACTAAACCAAGTCTGTGTGTTGGCCAGCAAGGGCCAAACAGCCAATGCGCCGCTAAAATTTTGTTTTTGTTTTTGTTTTTGTTTTTGGAGGGAGTAGGGAACAGAGAGGAGGAGTCATCTGGCTGTGAAACGCGTTAAAACAGCCAAAACTCCGTACAGACAGGCAAGTGGAGCCTGTGATGACATGGAAGGTGGAAGGAGAATCCAGTAGCCATGAGCCAGGGTCACTGTCCCTTGAGGATGGGGAGAGAGCACAGGGACCAGGGACAGGGAGATAAAAGGTGAGGTGAAAATCATCTGAGGCAAGCCTCCTCCGGCTGGATTTTCACAGAGGTTACTTATTAACCTCCTCAAATAAAGGGAATGGGACAAAACAGGGACAAGCCAGGGAAACCAACTGGGGTATCTGGCAGGAAGTAAGCAGAGGGAATGGCTCAAGTGCCCAAGATTATCATTCAAGAGGAGTAATTTTCCACTAATATCCGGTTTTAGGAATTTAATAATGACAACATTCAATAAAACAGTACATTAAAAATGAAAACAAAGGTCAGGAAATAGCTTTTTTTTTTTCTTGCTTTTCTCTCAAATTGAGAGGTGACAGACAGTCTACAAGAAGGTCTTTTCCTCCGAGACTTCCTCCTGCCCCCTTGGGATGTGCACAGGAATGGGAGGGATGATAGAGGGGTGCTTAAAAAGGAGCTATTCCTGTTCCCCAGGACTAGGGTTGCCAAATAAGATACAAGGCATCTAGTTAAATTTGAACTTCAGATCAATGAGGAATACTATTTTAGTATGAGTATGTCCCAAATATTGCATGGGATATACTTATACTTAAAAAAAAATCATTTGCTGTTCACAATTCAAATGTAACTGGGTATTCTGTATTTTCATTTCATTTGCGAAATCTGGCAGCCCTACTCAGGGGAAAGTCTTCTCTTTGTAAAAGTTTGTCAGCCCGAGTCCTCCATCCCATGCCATACTCTCTCCCTATCAAAAGCCCTGAGCGGTTTGTGTTAGGTAGGGTTTCTACCAAAACAGATCCTGCTGGCACAGAGCTTTTGTTTGTAGGCTTTGGCTCTGATTAAAGAAATAAAAAAAAAAATCCCCCCTAAGCATCTTCGGTTCTTGGGCTCCCTAGCTCCCTATTCTCTGCAAAGCATCTCCACACTGCACACAGAGAGCCTGAGGCGCCCGTGACTCTTCTGTGACAGCGCCCTTCAGACCTCAGCAGGGCCTTCAAGGGCATGAGCAAGCTTGGAACCTTCTGCTTGTTCATTGTTAATTTTCGCCTGTGAGCATGGCACAGGGCCAGGAAAAGCACTCAGAGGAGTTTCCCTCAATTGCCCTTGCAAAGCCTGCAGAATGACAACCCACTCTGCACTGCACAGGGAGCTGGGCTCAGCTAGACTGGCAGCGTGCGACAGCTTGATCATTTAGGCATAATTTCCAGGAGCCCCTGTGTGAATCCAAGTTATGAGTTCGGGGCTGGGAGCTTTTCTAGGGGAACAAGTGAAAGGAAAGGGAACTGCTCCTCCAGAGTCCCCTTTCTCTGCTGTGCTGTGAAAGGCATCTCCATTCCTGAGCTTGAACTAACAATGCTTTGGAGAGGGGAGACCAAGCCACTTCCAGAGGAGATGTTATACAGAAGTTCATGGGCCCATTAATCAGGTCTAACTAAGTTTTTATTTTTAAAAGCTCTGCCCAGGGAAGGAAATCTGAAGCTTCAGGATCTGGAAGCGGATTTGGGGGAACGGTTCGTTGGACCTGAATAATGGGTGTATGCCCCCACCTCTTGGCTGTATACTGCAACAGCAATCGGGGATTTTTGCCCTCTCTGTGGGCTACCTCCCCAGCTGTGTCCCCATCCGTGCTCAGCTTGGCCCACATGGTCAGCTCAGTGATAGCCAACTGCAAGCCCTACTCTGCCTTGCCTATTTCAAAAAGCCCTACAGGGCTGTGGAACAGCATCAACCAAATGGTGCCATTGTAAGGACGGCCAGAGTGAACAGTACTGTGTAACCATGAACCCAAACACACGGGGTGAGCAGATTCTATTGCCACTGTCCACTGCCAATCTGGAAATATCAATACTCTGGGAAAGGTGCAGCTCAAGAAGTAAAACCTGGAAATATCCTGGAAGATGGGAGTGGGGAGGTGGAGATACTGGAGAGGCAATAGGGCCCCAAAGCTTAGAGATATAAAAAAAGTGAATACCATCCAAGCAGAGTGCACTTCAGTTTTTTTAGCTGAATGATTCTACTGTCCTGAGTCCCCCAACTCATTCTGTCCAAGGGCCAATATTCTGAAGATTTTATTTCCTTTTGAACGAATTGAAGGGGCCACATTTTGGCTCTGGTTCAGGTCTCATGGGGCAATCAATGATCTAACCAGAACAGCCCGAACCATATCTGGTGGCCTAGAAAGTTAACATCTCCCAAAGTGCCTAGAATATACCTAAGAAATAAGTAGGAAATAACTTGAGTGTCAGAAAAAGTATAATCTGAATTTTTACCTTATTCCCAGGGTGAGGATAAAACAATATAGTGAAAAGCTATCTTTTCCATCTTCAAGGGAAAAGCTAGACAGAAAACCTAGAGGAGCAGGCCAGGCTCTGGGGCCAGGAAACATGGAAACTTAAATTTGGGGCCACCCATGTGTTTGTAGGAAAGAATGCTGGTTGAGGGCAAGAAGTCCTGAATTCTGGATTGGATCTCATGAGTCATGTGACCATGCACAAGTCACTTCTCTGTGCCTTAGTTTTGTTTCTCTGTAATAGGGTTCAGGCCATTTCTTCTCATTCTCACATGAAGATAGAATGAAATGATAGATATGGAAGTGCCTGGAGGAGAATTAAGTTTATATATATATATATATATATACACACACACACACACACATATCTACATACACACACATATCTACGTACACACATATCTACGTATGTGTGTGTGTGTATATATTTATGTATGTATAAATAGCATGGGGTTTCTTTTTTTAAAAGTGAGACTCAGCTTTATAAATTATTTAAGCCCCTATGCTGGGCCCACCCCTTAGGAAAAAAACAGCTATGAGAAAAGATGGATGAAAAATTACTGCCAAGGCCCAAAATACTTACGATGCTTTAACTGGGCTCTGCGTTTTGGTTGTCTGAAAGCAGAGATTAAGTTCGAGAGACACACATGCTCAGGACCTACATAGCAGAGGGATTCTTTTTCCTGGATTTAAACAGCTTCTTTTCTCCAAAAAACTCAAATGTAAAGAATTAAGTGTCATCAAAGCAGGGAAAAACTATAGCTTGGCCCCTGGGGGGAGGAACTAGGTCAACCCTCAGAATGAGGTGTCGCCTGTTCCCGTGAGAGCTAAGGGTTCACAACACGTGGAGACAGATGTAGGCTGCGAGCACCAAGCATTCCTGGGACTACATGGGAGGTGAGGAGGCAGCCATGAACAACTTAAAGAGAAACTGCTTCATATCCCAAGCCTTTACTCTGTGTTATATTCATCTCTCTCCCAACTGGTCTGGGTCTCATCAACTAGGTGTCAGTACACAAGGCTGAAAGCCCAAGCCCACAGATAAATGTTGCCTGATGCTATCTGATAAAAATGAGGGAAGAAAAGGCCGGTACGTGTCTCAGCACTGCTCCCTTTGATATTATCTTATGCTAAAGCACAGAGAGCCCCATGGTTCAGAGAGTGATCCAAACAGGAGCCCATTCAAGAGGCATTCTCTCCCCAAACTCTAGGCATCAAGGATAAATTCAGTAACCAGAGGAAGGGCTCAGAAGGGTGTGGAAAATGCCATGCTGGTTCATGCAAATAGTCCCTCCCAGCTTTGGTCTCTGAGGCTGGAATCCCTGCTCAGCTTTGGATAAGCAGGAACGGATTGGTCATCATCTGTGACTTTACCTGGAGTCTTCACGAACCGCTTCTTCTGGCCTGTCAAAAAGCAAGTGCAGGTTTGGATGGCAGGGAACAAAGTTGACGAGGAGGCTGAACACTGCATGAAGAGAGGACCAAGCCAATGAGAGAACAACAGCAGCAACAGAAAAGCAAACAAACCCTGCAACAGACCTGATGGGGGATGAGTCGCTGGACGTGGATGAGGTGGGCATAGGGCTGGATGGCGCCGAAAACATGGGCCAAGATGGCGAGAGGGGTGAAGTTGGGCTTGGATTCGGGGGGCTGCAAGACATAACCACCAGAAAACTCGTCAGCACACAGGGAAACCACACGGGAGCACAGGAGGTTCAGGGGAGGCCAAATGACAGGGAGCTGGAGACCGGAGGAGCACTGAAACTGTCCTCAGTGCCAAGTCACATCTCTCCAGACCAAACTCCGTGTCTTCCAAGTAATGCCCGCTCTGGAACTCCTCGGAGTGTTAACATGTCTCTTCGCCCTGCAGAACAACTGCTTCCTAGGTGGCAGGAGCTTCCTCAGTTGGGTCCATTGTGCCTTTGGCCATGGGTGAAAAAGGCCCTGAACCCACGTCCATGGGTTCCCACACCCACATCCTATCACCGACCTCCATCTGGGGCAGGGCTAGCTCATAACCAGCCTTCAGCTTCCACCTGTGAGTGTTTTTAAAGTCGTGCCTCAGCAAAAATGACCATTCTTCTGGGCCACACAGGCCATTCCGCCAGAAAACAATTTCCTGTTTACATTTTTAACGAAACGGGCCGTGTGCCATTGGAAACCCGGAGAAGGATTGCATTAGAAAAGTGATAGCGGATGGAGGACAGGGCTGGACACACACCTCTCAGGAGAGGGCATACAGCTATGCGCAGGGCATAGTTGTCCCTCTGAGGTTTGCTCTCCAGGCTTATTCTTTCTTTTTTCATGGATTTTGGGCATTTTGACGCTCAAAGAAAAAGTCTCAGATGGAAGGCAATGAAAAAATGAGGAACTGAAAGCTTAAATCTGTCATTTTGTTTTATTTTTTGATGGGTGGCTGATCAAAAGTTTGGAGAGGACAGGTTGAAATTACTCACTAAAATATGGTTTGTGGATTTTAACTAGTCACGCTAGCCCTTTGACTTATTTCCACAAATTACACAAATAAACATCTTAGTAACTCTGTAAAACTGCATTAAGCCACAGATAGTGCAAACAAACATCAATGACTGAGAAAACAGCCCGGAAACCACCCAGCCACAACACCACCTGCAGCCCTGAGCCCCAGCCGGTGGCTGGATTACGTGGCCCAAGCACTGCACAGAGGTGAAAATGACAGCAATCCGATTCCAGGGGAACAGACTTTCTAAACCTACTGGGATTTAGCAAGAACACATAAATGTCCTGCTGAATGAGACATCTTCAATTCAGATGAGTGACTCAATAATGGCCTTAATTATCTACGGCTATAACATAAATTCCTATGGAAATACACAGTAAAAACCCATTGTGTGAGTTCATCAGATAACCTCGGACTCACTGAAAGAAACATTTATTAAATGTCACTATATGCATTATATTTCTAGAATACAAATTTCATGAGCGGGGATTTTTGTTTACTTTGTTTACTGCTGTATCTCCAATGCCTAAAACAGTGCCCAGTAGGATTTCAATAAATATTGAGTAAATTAATGAATCTCATTTAACCCAGCCATCTAGTCAAGAGGCACTATTGTAATTCCCATTTCATAGATGTGGGAACTTGGGCCAATTTGAGGCTTGCTAGAAGATATCCAGGCTGTAAGCGTCAGGGCCGAGGTTCAGACCCCAGTGCCCTGGCTCCAAGCCCAGGGCTGTTGCCACCACAGTGTACCACCTCTGGGGTAGCAGGACTTGCTCTGATCCTCTAGGCTGTACCAAGCTTCTTTACAGACCCCGCCAGAGCACTAGAAACCTTAACCACTGATTTATGAGTTTCCTTTAGATGCCTACCACATTTGCAGGGGAAAACGGGAATGCAGCAACAGACAGGCCCAGCAAGACTCAACACATTGTAAATTCCAACAAAATCCCCAATTCTGCCTCCAGTCTTGTGTGTGGTAGATTCCTATAGCAGATGGAATTCATATAACAGAAGAGACAGAATTCAAAGAGTATGGCTTTTTTCTCTTCGCCTCAATTATTCCAGCAATAACTACTTATTGAACACATTGTGTGATCAAGACAGTAAGTGGTATACAGCTCAGCATTTACCAAGGTCCCCGACTTGATGAGCTTACAGTGTATTTGACAAGATGGGACAGATTAAAACACAACTGTAATATAAGACAGTAAGTAAGCTTCATCAGCTAAGGGATCAGTTACCCTATGATTAGTTTAATGCCTGCTCCCACACTTGATTCTGTCTTGGGTCCCGGAAGGAAGTGCTGCCTTATTTCTACTGGGCAGTCAGTCCTCGGTTAATCCACAACTGCAGCTGGTAAGAAGGGCCTCGCTTTCTGTCCCCTCCCTACAACTGGCCCCCTTAATGGTGACCCAGTGGGCAAGGCCTGGCTATTCCAACTGCAGCCCAGCCTGGGAACCCAAATTCTGACCAGGGACAATCTGGAGGTTTATAAGAGCAGCCCAGGCCCAGAGGCCTGAACTAATCTGTTCCTTTGGTCAGGGGCCAACACAGGACAATTAAAAACTCCTTAAGACCTTTTTTTTTTTTTTTTTGAGTTTTCTTTTTAGTGGCTTTTCTAAGTAGGAAACACCTCCAGCTTCCTACCTCAAGTGTACCAAGAATCATGCCTTTGGCTAAAGGCATAGTTGGAAACATATTCTATGAACACAATGTGGGTTCTGAATGTTTTTTCACATCCCTGGATATCTAAGTGGTTCTTGGCCACTTAGTACATGGCTGAAATTATCTGGGGGTGCGGCTGGAATGCAGGACGTTCATAACGATTATAAGAAGTTACTCTTCAATCTCCATGTCCATTGCCATAGAATTAGCTGTGAATTTTAAGAACTAATAGAACTTCATTTGTTTGCTTGTGTTTTGGTCATAGCAATAACATTTATTTGCCATAAAATAACCACAATCTAAAACTTATTACCACTATGCTTCAGTGTAACAGTAAAATGCATACTCCACAGTACTTCAATGATTTTTTAAACTACGGATTGGAATTATACTCTTTGTTAATTTGTGCTCCAGAGGCACGTCAACAAAACTCAACGTCAACAATACTACTGAACACTGTTATACACCACAATGACTGATGCCTGTAGCAACAGAATGACTGTAAACATATAAATGTTCCTCAAAGAAACAGAGAGCATATCATGTATCAGTTTTTATGCAACTTAGAGAACACACAGGTGGAAAATAAGATGCACAGGGATGACGATAATGGCCCAAGACTGTTTGTATAATCTTATACTCTGACCACAGAAGTGTCTGGCTATAGGTTACTTAAAGTGACAACAGCACTCCTAAAAAAATCCAAGACATGGGCTTCCCTGGTGGCGCAGTGGTTGAGAGTCCGCCTGCCGATGCAGAGGACACGGGTTCGTGCCCCGGTCCGGGAAGATCCCACATGCCGCGGAGCGGCTGGGCCCGTGAGCCATGGCTGCTGAGCCTGTGCGTCCGGAGCCTGTGCTCCGCAACGGGAGAGGCCACGACAGTGAGAGGCCCACGTACCGCAAAAAAAAAAAAAAAAAAATCCAAGACAAAACAAACTAAAAACGGCCAGCTTTGGTATTGACTCTGAAACCTCCAATATCGAATTCTCAAAGTCTCTTTCCATTAATGAGGACAAGGATAACAAATGATTGGTGTTAGGATAGGAGAAAATAATTTTATAACTACAATCTTAGCAGATGATCCCCTAAGGCTTCTCTACAACCTCAGAGTCCAGCTGAATGCCCTAGCACATTTTTCACCCTAAATATTCCTGGGGTCCTGCCAGGCCCCCCACATCAGGGCCCAACTATAGCAACAGCAGCTTAAACTTTAAGGAACACTTGTTGGCCTGGTTTGGGTTCAAGTGGAAGGCTTGCGTCGGCTTCAGTTTGCTAGTCCACGGTGTCCTCAAAAGGAGTCACACAGCCCCAGTCAGTCCCTTTGACAGTCACTGGACAGGGAAGAAATAATGGTTTGGGAAGATAAGGCTCAAAGGCCTGGCAGCATGCTGGGATGTGGCTGAGTGTGCAAGTACAGTGTGTGGCAATATCGTCAGCTTGACACCCTTCTGTGGTGACTCACTTGACTGATGGGGCATCTGGAGTACCAGCCAGGGCATGACTACCAGGCCGTGGACAGGGCTGTCCCAGCAGGCTCCCCATCTGATCACGGATGTGGCAGACCCTCTCATGGCTCCACAGCATGGGAGTGAAAAACCTGAGCTGGTATAAGATAAGCAGTCGGCAGACCATTAATCTTTAATTCTGATATGCAAAATTACAGATGGCTGTGTAGGAAACTGGGAAATATCACAAGAAAAGCAGTAAAATCACACATAATTTATACTGCTGATAATCACTGTTAACAGCTTGCCAAATTTCTTCACTTGTCTTGGGTGGGGTGGTGTTGCAGATAATACTACATACATAGTAGCGTATTTTTTTCACTTAAGTATTTTCTGATGTCATTAAGTAGCCTTTGATATATTTTAAAAACCATAAAACTCTTTTCCCACTAATGAGGCTAAAAATAACAAACAACTGACATTACTTCAGAGAAAATAATCTTTAAAGTACAATCTTGGCAGATGACCCCCTGAAGACCTCTCTACAAACCCCATAGTATTCTCAGACCTACAGGATAGTCTACTGTATGGTATACCCTGATTTATGTACCCCTTTTCCTATTGTGTACATTCAGATCATCCCTCTTCGGCCATAGTACTGCAACTCACATTCTTGTGGAGGATCACTGCCTGTGTCTCCAATTGTTTCCTTAGCATAAATTCCTGGAAGTCAAATTAGTGAGTCAAAGGCTAGGAGCCTTTTTTAAGGGTCCTGATACATCCTAGCAAATGGCCTTGCAGAAAGGTTCGACTGAATTGCATTCCCACCAACAGCGTATGGGGGCTGCCCCTTCCCTCTCACCACGGCCCCACCAGCACAGAGAATGAGCAATTGAAAAAATCCGATGGACTTTTTTCCCCCAGCCCACAAAGGTTACCTTGGACTCTTCTCTTTCCTAGCATTTCCAATGGTAAAAACAAATACAACTCCTCTCCCATGTCGTTTCCATCTGCAAGCAATGTTTAATTTTCTAAAGGGCATTCTGCCAAGAAGGT